AGCCAAGTATTCCCCTCCAGGATGCATCTGTTTCTGCCTGGGCTCCTGCCTTGATTCGTAAGGATAGGCCACCACTGGCTCCCCAAACTCCCTCATCCATCCTCCTAGAGCCCTGTAGTCACTTTTGATCTGTTCATGGGAGCAAACTTGGGTTGGAAGTACATTTTCCAGAACATACATTAATATACAGAAAGATTCTCCCCACCCCAATATTTTCTAATAAGACTTTTTATACAAAGCTCCTATTTAGCAGAGTTAATCATTTGTCTTCAGCATCTTAACGTGGCTGCTTGATTTTTCTCTGAAAGGATTATGTCATTTACTGACAGGAGTCTCTCCATTTTATATTATTAATGAGATTATTTGGCTTATACTGTGTTGTTGGTATGCATGGCACTTTAGACGTATACGGAAATGAGGTTCTTTCCCCCAAAGAGTTTGCAACCTACATTACAGAGATCATGAATGAATAATTGAAATCTAAATGAAGCTTGGCAACTGTCCATAGAGAGAAATAGTCCCCATGTACCACTTCTGTAAAGACCATCAATAGTGATCTAAGGGCACGTCTACACTACACGCTGGATCAATGGGCAGAAATCGATCCAGTGGGGGTTGATTTATCTCATCTGTCTAGATGCAATAAGTCATCTGCCAAGTGCTCTCCTGTCAACTCTGGTACTTCACCCAAATGAGAAGTGTGGGAGGAGTGGACGGGAAGACACTGTGGTAAGTAGATCTAAGTACATTAACTTCAGTTATGTTATTCACGCAGGTGAAGTGGTGTAACTTAGCTCTGTGGCCCGTAATAATGTAGACTACACCTAATTTAGCCATCTGAAATTCAACTGCATGTGCGGGTTCTGAATCTCTTTTAATGCACATAGAGCCTTATTCTCAGCTATCATCTATTGGTGAAGCACCAGTGATTTCAATCAAGTTATCAATTTACACCAACTCAGTATTGTCACTTCTGTCCTCATCTCTCAGTTTGCTGAGCTCAGTGGTGTGACATATCCCTAAAATATGCGAGTGTAACACAGGAAGTTTAACAAAAATGCAGGTTCAACTTCTTTAACATGTTAACATTTTCTATGAGGCTCCATTTTTATAATTATGTTTCTATTGTAAAACAGGGTATGTCTACACTTGCACCCTCTTTTGAGAGAGGAATGCAAATGAAGACATTCGAAATTGCAAATGAAAGAGGGATTTAAATATCCTGCGCTTCATTTGCATATTTGTGTTATGGCGCTATTTCAAAATAACAGACACTGTTAAGATGCGGTTATTTCGAGAAAAACCCCTTCTCTTGAAATAACTGGCAAACCTCATTGTATGAGGAATAAGGGTTATTTCGAGAGAAGGGTTTTCTCTTAAAATAACTGCGTCTTAACAGCGTCTGTTATTTTGAAATAGCACCATAACGCAAATATGCAAATGAAGCTGGGATTTAAATATTCGGTGCTTCATTTGCAATTTTGAATGTCTTCATTTGCATCCCTCTCTCGAAAGAGAGTGCAAGTATAGACATACTCACAGTGACAAAAGGGAACAGATACCAGACTATGCGGGACTGAGATAAATTTGGCTCTAAATGGAAGCATGTGACTGGGAGAGTTTTTAGGCCTAGCTCTGATTTCCAAGTAATGCTGACCGAGATCAGTCATATGTGGTATGAGATCACCCCCAGCTGGACAAAGCCTTAATAGCCAGTAATATCAATCATAAAAATCTTCCATTCTCTGTACAGCAACTAAGGGGAAAAAACAAAGAAGTGGGAAGGGTATCGATAAGAAGATCATGATTTGACAGAGGATGGAGAGGTGAGCATATTTCGAGTCGTGAGGGAGGAATACTGCAAGAGATTGTGGATCATCCCTTATGTTTAGAAGTGGGGTCCGAGTGTAACAGTGGTGTACAATAAAGAACAGTTGTGAAAGATACACAAGTTTGTGTTAAACTCCTAAAATGGACGTAATATGGCCCCATTAAGCTCAGGTGGCACAAAGTAAAGCCAGCTGCTATGTCTACTACCTGCCACATTTGTCAGCACTACATTATGCTGATCCTCTTCTGTATAAGGCAGTGGCTCTCAACATTTCCAGCCTACTGTAGCCCTCTGAAGAGTCTGATTCATCCTGTGTACCCCCAAGTTTCACCTCACTTAAAAATTACTTGCTTACAACCTCAGACAGACAAAAATAAGCATGTCACAGCACACTATTACTGAAAAATTGCTCATGTTCTCATTTTTTACCATATGCTTATAAAAATAAATAATATTTTGTACCTACATTTCAGTGTTCAATATATAGAACAGTATAAACAAGTCATGGTCTGTGTGATGGGGTGTGCATATTCCACGCTGAAGCAGATGGGGTTAAAACCCTGTGGACAGGGGAAGTCCTGCCCATTTACCCAAACTGGGCATGCTCCAAATGCTGGGGCAGTATAAAAATCAGGAGCGCAGCTCAGTCCAGGCTGGCTACTGAAGGAGAAAAACCTCCAGCTGCAGTGTCAGAGCTGCACCAGCTGTGACCCAGACAGTAAGGACCAGAGACTGCTATGAGTTATCAGCATCAGAGGAGCCCCAAGGAAAAACATCTGCTGGGGAACCAGAAAAACCAGGGACCACGTGGGATGTTGCCTCACCAGCACTGGTAGGAAGTGTCCCAGGGAGGGTGTTGGAGTGGTATCTCCCACCCAGGTAAGCTTGGCATGTTTTGGTCAGAGTCCCTACTGAGTGAGTGGTAGAATGGTCTGCCACTCACAGGGCCCTGGGCCAGGACCCAGTAGAGCAGAATGGGTTTGGGTCCTCTACTGGGGCTACCACCTCTGCCCTTATTGACTCTGGCTGTCAGGCTGTACTGCCCTGAGATAAGGGCAACATTATTGACTTTAACCATTAAGCTAAACTACCCTAGACCTGTGGTCCCCAACACGGTGCCCGTGGACGCCATGGCGCCCGCCGGGGCATTTATGTGGCCCCACCCCTGGGCGCCCAGCACGTGGGTGGTCCCACCCCCCAGCACCCGGCAGCCCCAAAAGGTTGGGGACCACTGCCTTAGGCCAGCGATTGTCCTTTACAGACTAAAAGACTGCTGGTGCCCCTGCAGCTGGCCAGGTGGTGTCTGCACACCTGGATACCCTCACCTTAAGGATGGGGTGTGCCTATGCCATCTGTATGAAACTTTAGTTTGTTCTGACTTCCCTAGTGCTTTTTACATAGACTGTGAAATGAGGTAAATATCTAGATGAGTTGATTTACCCACGGAAGACCTCAGTGTACCAGTGTTCTCTGTAAGATGAGTGCCACCCAGGAGCGATTCAAATGTCACCCAGCTGATTAGTACAGTGCTCACAGCTAGAAGCATGTGCTTCTTCTGGCCGTGCATATCGGCACATACCTGAGTATGTAACAAAATGTATCCTGCACATGGATGGAAAAAAATAGAGAGTATGCTACTGTGTATCCCAGTGGCATGAGTATCCCTGGTTGAGGTCCCCTAGTTTAAGGAGGCCACTAGGCTCTTACCAGAAGGTAGTGGGACTTTATGGTTGGCTTCTCCCACTATCAAAGGAAAGAGGAAGGGCTGATAAGAAACCAAGATCTGCAGACAGACAGTCCTTAGTACCAGTGGGCAAGAGGCCAGTGCTCCAGGACAACCTGATTGACAGGGCAGGCAAGCCAATGAGGGGGTCAGGAGCCCTGGATCTCATCCTGCATGTGAGTTGGAGACAGAGCAGCAGCAGGATGAGCCAGAGCAGAACAAACCAGCTGTGCCGATGGACAGCCAGGGCTGAGCTGCAGAGGGGAGCTGTGGGCCCAGAGCAGATGTCCACTGAGCCAAAAGTAACACAGGAGCCCAACATGGTGAGTAGCTGCAGAGACCCTGAGGAGCAAGGGCCCAGTGCAGAGAAATGTCACCAGACAAGAGGTTTTGCAGAGTGGACTCGGAGGGAAGGGCAGATGCTGTCACCTAGAACCTGAGGGTGCATGCTCACTGACCTCTGATATCCCTGCAGCTCCACTAGGGCCTGGGATATGCAAGGAGCAGACTGAACTTTCCTTATGTCCCAGACACTGCTGTTTGTAGTGTCCCTGAGCCCACAAGAGTTACTTATTTCCTTTAACTTTTTTCCATTTCCCCTCTTACAGTGGTGTATTAAACTGTATTGGCTTGGAACTAAATGTAATGATCAGTGGTTAGGGAAGCATCTGGTGCAAAGAAAGTATCCCAGAGAAGGGGCAGCCTACCCCCTGCTATAAGTGACCATAACAAGATGGGGGAGGGGAAGCCTCCTAAGAATCCTGCACCCAGCCTTGTCAAGATACAAGGACTCAGCCAAGAGAGAGGAGAGACCTTAAGGTCAGGCCAAGCAAGGACTTGGATTCTTTTGCTAACCAACGTCCCCTGAGTAATGTATAAGCCAGGAAAGCTGCTCACAGTAGCAGGGCCATTCGCTTACATCTGGCCCCATAACCACTAAATACCAGTGGTATAATATCCCCCATGTAGGCAGCTGGTCTGGCCCTCAGCCCATGAAAGTCTCTGGAGCACTCCCAGCTTCTTCAGATCCTTCCTTTAGAGCACAGTTGTAGTCTTAAATTTAAAACATCAAAACAAAACTCTTCCTCTGCCTCCCCATAGACACAAGCTCCTAGAGGCTTTTCTCCTTTTCTTTTTTCGGTGCTGAAAGAAACCATCCCCTGCTGCTTCAGCTCTAGAAACCATCTCCTCCTACTGACCTCACCAACCCAGCTCTCTGAGCCCTTTATAGGGTTCACCCAAGGCTTATCCAGATGGTTCTGATAATCAAAAAGGGATGACTGGTCCCAGGCACTTAAAAGGACAGAGACCATCCAAGGCTACTCTAAATAACACCAGCCACTTGCAGAGGTTCAGATGGATGTAATATTGCCCTGATAGCTTTTCTCTTCCCATGTCAAGCAGATTAGGATACAAAGGAGAATCTTAAGTGTCATGTGCCTGAGCTATTGTTTCTCACCTGGGTCTTTTTTAAAAAATATGCAAAATATTTTGAGGCATTCTTTTTTCTTTTGAGATAATTAATTCCTATGTAACTATTAATGCAAAAAACAAATACAAGTTGTAATAAAATTAAAGCAGGATTTAAACTCATATCCTCTGCAACATAATCTAGCTGATGGACATATAGTAACAGACACTTGCATAAAGGCACAGTTTATGCATTAAATGAGTTTATGAATTTAATAGGATTAAGTCCATAGATGTAATAGTATAAAAATATATTTTCCACTAAGCAAATCACACTTGCCCATCTTTGCTGAAATAGCCACAGCATCTGACCTTATTTCTTTATCTCAACAGAAGCATACAGTATTGGATATTACAATAAAAAAATAGGAATAGATGGCATATAATGATTACAAAAGTGTAAGTTTTATCTTTCTAGTTTAACCATAGCTATAGTCAGATATAATGTTCATTACATTTTCTTTAATACTCAGGGTAGCCATGTTAGTCTGTAACTTAAAAAAACTGTAAAAATGAGTGGTCTTTTTTGTTAGTCTTTAAGGTGCTACAGGACCACTTGTTTAATTTTTTTTTTTTTTTTTTTTTTTTTACTTAATAGTTTCTTTATTGAAGGAATAGAGCTGTTTAGTTTTTATTAAAAGCAGAGTTTTTCTGGTTACATAATCATGACATGTTGAACATGTGGTGATCTATTTAACATGGAAGTGAAATCCTGATCTTATTGAAGTCAATAGACACTTCCCCTTGACTTCAGCGTGGCTGGGATTTTATCCAAGCAGAGGACTTTGCATAAAAACCCAGCCTCCCAGTAGATTAGAACAGGTTGTTTTTGCAATTTCAATAACCTCTTTCCACTAGGAATACAGCCTCCATGCAATTCAAGGGAATTTGCCATAGGATGGCTCCCTTAGTTGGTGGTGCATTCAGTGTGCATTTACTGGGCCTGATTCTGATCACACACTGTGTGTGTTGTGTGGGTGGTTGTTTTTTTGGTTTTGTTTTTTTTGTTTTTTGTCTTTCTTCTGCCACTGGTGTCACTGCCTCTCTTCAGAGAGTTTACTCCAGATTGGCATTGTGGTGTATGGCATTCAGAATCAGGCCAAGTGAATTTTACAAGGAAAAAGATATCACTAAAATATTGACTACAAGGACTAGAGACTTTAGATCCATTCTCTAGTTCACACTGGCCTCTATGTGCAGGGAAGTCAGAAAAAATGAACATCATCCTTTGTCTGGAACAAACTGGCCATAAGAAATGCTGCCCTGTCTTCTCATATTTTAATGAAGGAAGAAACTCATGGTTATGTGGGGTGGGGTTAGGCTTAGGGAAAAGATGTTCCATAGGACATACTGATACACAGATCCCTTTTGGCAGGGTATCAGCATCCAATTTTCTGGATTCCCTGCCATCTGCCTTGCCATACACCGATCCTGTGCCAATGGACTCTAGTAAAAAAAAAAAAAAAAAGTACTATAAGGAATTCCTCCAGTTGCAGTAATCACAGGCTCATTCTTAAGGGTGGAAGGTTCCCCACTGCTGGTATCAGGGCTGATGGGAAGATTATGTGTATCCCTAGCAGCTTTCCCTCTAAACTGCATGCCCGCACAGCTTTACAGGTGACTAATCAGCCCTGCCCATTTAGTCATCTCCATGCATGGAGCCCTGATTCTGACTGCTTAATCAGAGGTGTGGTTGATTAATCGTCTGTGAAGCTGTGCTGCTTAGGAGGAACACTGATCCCTGTGTGTCTCTTCTTCCAGCCTGCAGAAGCTTAAATGCAGGCTGGAATGCTGTTCACCCAGTCTTCAGTCCCTCCCCAATATCAAGATTCAATAAAAGCCTCTCAGTGAGGTCCAGTGGGTGGAGATAGCTGACTTTCCCCCTTCCATACAAGGTGAGACCTCACATGGGGAAGACCTTCCTCTGGGAGCAAACAATAGGGACAAGATCTGATCCTTAGATCTTAGCTACATGTTTCTCTCCATAAAGAGGGGAACTATGGAAAATGAGGTGTTTGTGCCTCACATGGATACAGACCTTAGACTGTGTAGATAAGTGCATTTCCTTTGAAGTCAGTGGAATGTCACTGATTTATACCAGCTAATTATCAGGCCTAGAGTATGTGCAGAAGGCTAGTGCAAGGCTGTGTACCTCAGACACTTTCCTGTTAAGCCTCACTTTAAATTGGCATCACTAGAGTTGAGATCAGTCAGCACGTGGCAGCTTCCTGATCTATATTTCCGGGGAGTCCTTTGGCCCTGCGTTTGCTGGGAATCGCTTACCATGGCTTTGTGCAGTGAACAGCATTGGGGGTTTTTTCTGCTGGCGGGGAAAGTCTTGTGTGTTGATGGAACAATCCAAAATGAATTTTCTCATCTTTTTCTGACAGGTGAGATTCCAGTGTTAATTGGCTCATGCCGAATGTCAGTATGCTGATGTTAGATATAAGCCATAACGAGCATTGGCCACTGAAATAGAAAACGACAACTCCAATATGGGTACCTACGATTAATTAGAAATACATCAATAGGGCAGTCATAATGAATGTGGCATGGGCTTTTCACAGGAGTGCACTTTTCCTCACCAAGTGATGGAAACAAATCTCACTAGAATTAATTTTGAAGTGCTCCCAGGAGAGCAATGCTCTGAAGTCAATGGCATTATTGCTTTTTGCTCATTTTCAGCTTCTGTTTAGTTATGGCCGTGGCATAATAGCCTTTAAATTTCACCAGAAAAATGGGGATTGGAATGATAATCGTTAACATGCCAAATATGGCAGCAAATGCTGCCATCACCTGTCCAAAAGTGGTGAGAGGGATGATGTCACCATAGCCCACAGTGGTTAGTGTGATCAGAGCCCACCAGAAGCAGATGATGATGTCTGTGAAGTGCAAATCCCCCCGGTAAGAAGGATGAACACCCAACAACTCTCCATAGAAAAAGAGAGACCCAAAGAAGAGGGTTTCAAAGGCCAGGATCATCAGCAGGATGCAAATCTCTCGGATGATGGACTTGAGTGTGTAGGACAGGACTCTCAAGATCAGAGGTGTCTCTATTAGCTTGAATATCTTCAGGAGTTTGAAGAGGTAGACCACACGGACAAAACCCAGCCAAAGCGCTAAGTTTGGCATTTTCTGGATTTGCCCAGCTGTGAAGAGTTCGATGTACACTGGGAAGAGGGAGAGGAAATCTGCCACATTCAGAGGGTTTCTGAGGAATTTTTTTTTGTCTGGACAGAAGAAAAATCGCATGGAAAACTCAAAAGTGAACCAGAGGACACAGAATACCTCCAAGTGGAGCAGGTAAGGTTCCTGCTGGTAATAAGACTCATGGGTGCTTTGGATCACATCGGAATGGCCGAAAATGGTGAAGTTAACAGCAAAGTACTCATACTGTGCCTTAGTCTCCTCACAGAATATGATGACTATTCCAATGATGAACAGCAGAGAAACAACGGCCAGGCACTGCAGAGGGGGATAAAGGCGAAACATACCGTCAGGTCAGTGTGAGGGTATCGCATAACTACAAAGCTTTCCTTTGCAGCTAAAGCATCAAATGTTACCTTCTCCTAGACTAACTGCTCCCAATTTCCTTCTAGGAATTGATTCACAGACTGAAGGTCTCTTCTCCTTCTCTTTTCTCTCCCCCCCCCCCTTTCCATTCTTACCTGTCCAAGGCCAAGATGAGGATCTGGGTAAAGGAAAATAATGTGAACTATTAGCATCTGGACTTGTAGGGCAGGAAAGACATTTAACAGCTGGAGCAACACAGTTTCACTTAGGTTGCCCTAGCATCAGCTGGCTCAAGTGACTCAACTGTCCTAGTCACTGGAAAATGTCTTCTGCCTTCTCCAGACCTACAGTTCCTGTCCCAGGTGCAGATTGTCTTATGAGAAGTACTAGAGGTGACCCACACTTTTTATAGGGAATGAGAATATTGAGGAGGAGAAATGGTAGGGAGTGTGTGAATGAGAGGAAATACAATAAACTATTTAACTATACACAGCACAGTAGCAAATGCACAGAGCTGACATGCACTAGCAGTGAGACACAAAAGCATTTTAGTTACAGAAAATAAAATGAGCTGAAGTTAACACTCTTCTTCCCTGACAGTACAAGCAGAAATCACATGGGTTGTGTTAAGGCCCTGGCATAAGTGTTTAGCATTAGCTCAGCTCAACCATTAACTTGTTAATGGTTGAGCTAATGCTTTCTGCTTTTCTAAAAATCAGAACAGGTGATTTGGCAGAGAGCAAAGGTAAAGAATGTTTGAATTTGAGCCACTCCAGCTAACAGACTCTTAGCTGACTCCACAGGCTTCCAAATTGCCTTGTATCATTTAATAATTGCTAGATAGTAGGTCTAAAGCTGGTCAAGCTTTCCTTAACAAAGAAGATTTACACTAGTGTAAATCAGGCATGAAGTCAATGGAGTCAGCTGTAAAACTGGAGTGAAGTCCGAATCAGACCCTATATTAATTGCATATTTAGCCTGGTTTTGGTTAGAGAACCTTTCCTGAAGTGATCCTGATTTTCAAAAATATTTGCCAAATGCTTTGGAGGAATAATTTAGAGCCTATAGAGATTTTTTTTTTTAAATGAAATGATCACTTCAATTGGGTCACTTCACATCAGGTTGAATGGGGAAGGTGTCATCTGAATCACCTAGTCAGGTTTTATCTCCCAGGTAGCATTAATAAAATGGTATAATATTAATTCATAGTTAATTACTCATTTCTAGTATGACTTCTCAGATGAATAAACATTAGTGCCAAAACTCATGAAGCCTCTAGGATTCACAAATTGTCCTGGAATACCAGGGCAAACTGTTCTGTGTAACAACCAGCAGCATGACCCACCCCAAACAGAACAAGCTGAAACACCTACAGCAGTTGTCCCCAATCTTTTGGAGCTGCCGGGCACCTGGGGGCGGGGCCACGCATACACCACGCGCCCAGGGTGCAAGAATGTCTTGGGTCAGCCCTGGTCACTAGGCAGGAGCACATAAATGCCCCAGCAGGTGCCATGGTGCCTGTGTGCATCGTGTTGGGGACCACTGACCTACAGAAAAGACTGATGGATCAGGTTGCTATTGTGGGATGACTTCTTTAATTAATCAAGTACTGAATGTGAGGTAAGCAGGGCTCTGAACTTGTGCACTAGAGTGGCAAGTTCCCAAGCTTTTCCTCCTAGGTTTAAATTCCAGTAATCCCAGTAGATTCACGTTCACACTGAAAAAACTATCTAGATCTCCACTGGGAGCATTACCTTGGCACTTAAAGAGGAAAAGGGCTTTTCAAAGATCGACCATATCTTTGGTTGCCATCTGGCCCTCCAGCTGAAATCCCTTCTTTCCAGTTGGACTATGAGGCACTGGTCATCCGCATGTTCATTCTCATCCCAAACATTAAATTCCTCAGGCTGGCTGTCTTTGTTGGACAGCTTCAGCCAACAGCAGGGTGCCAGCTGTGCATCACTTAACTCCCAGAAAGCCAGCTCTTCCTCTAAGATTGACCTGCAGGTGTCTGCAGGACAATGAAGGTGTTTGGTCCTGTAATAGCTCAATACATAGCCAAAGAGTTGAGCACTCCTGTCAAAGAAGAATTCTTTGGTGACAGGGTTATAATCGTAGATGGTGCTGGCTTGGGGCTCTGTGAGCCTGCACAGCTTGGTCCCTGGGAAGGTCCGAAGGGTGCTGCAGTATGTCTCATGTCTGATGCCTCCAACATTCAGGATGATCTTCTCTTTTGAGCCATCCATCCTACAGATGTCAAGTGGTGGGTTCACGTTCTAGTTAGCTTCTCCAACAAGGCTATAAGAGGGAGACAGGATAAGAATGCAAATTAAAAGAATAAGCCCCTTAATGCTGCAAACCTGAAGCAGGGCAGTTTTCCATGGCCTGTAGCACCACTTTGCTAAAGCTCATTTTGTAACTTCCCTTAGCACTTGAATTTGCTAGAGAAAGTGCCTGACTCCTCCCCTCACTGACCTATTCTATTCAGTATAAGCTCTTCTGTGCTCATCACTCATTTGAACGCCTTCCAATAGAACATTAAGCAACATGACTAATGTCTCTCGTGTTTGTTCTCTCATCCCATCCCTGGAGAGAAGGGTACATATTGGAGCGTCTTGTTCTTGTAGAGGTTTTTTCAATGTAATGGAATTAATTTTTAAATATACATGTTGCCATGTATTTGTTAGAGGGGGCAAGGTCAAAGGAAATACCTTGTACTCAAGCACAAGTTGGTGAGGTTTCTGATGGGCCTTAGTTCCTGAGGGAGTTCAGAAAACTCTGCCTCACATAAGGACAAGAAATACCCATGTACTAACTTACTGTGTGCCAGAGGAACAGAGCAGTCAACCACTGTCTTCATCCCAGAGTTTTAAGTGGCTTTTTTTTAAATATAAACTATCTTGCTGTGTGTAGGAGATTTTTTTTCTCCTCTCCTTAATTTTTGGAGAATCATAGAATACTAGAACTTAAAGGGGCCTCAGGAGGTCATCAAGTCCAGTCCCTTGCCCTCATGACAGGATCAAGCACCATCTAGGTCATCCCTGATAGATGTTTATCCAACCTGATCTTAAATATGACCAGTGATGGAGATTCCACATCCTCTCTAGGCTATTCATTCCAGTGTTAACCATCCTGACAGCTAGGAAGTTTTTCCGAAAGTCCAACCTAAACCTCCCTTGCTGCAATTTAAGCCCATTGCTTCTTGACCTATCATCAGAGGCCAAGGAGAACAATTTTTCTCCCTCTTCCATGTAACACCCTTTCAGATACTTGAAAACTGCTATTATGTCCCCTCTGTCTTCTCTTTTCTAAACTAAAGCCCAATTCGTTCAGCCTTCCCTCATGAGTCATGTTTTCTAGGCCTTTAATCATTTTTGTTGCTCTTCTCTGGACCGTCTCCAATTTTTCCACATCTTTCTTGAAATGTGGTGCCCAGAACTGGACACACTACTCCAACTGAGGCCTAATTGGCACAGAGTTGAGCCGAAGAAAGACTTCTTGTGTCTTGCTCACAACACTCCTGTTAATGCAGAGTCACAAGTGAGATGATGTGACTGCATGGCTGTCAACTGGACCATACTGGCTGGGAGGGGGACATAAATGTTCTTTGAGGTTCCACTTTGCTACTTTATTCCTCTGCTCTGACTCAAGTTGGACATAACCATCTTCCATCCGCTTCCTCCTGGAGTCTATCCACACAATGTCTGGGTCAGCTCAGAGCAGTTCATGAGCAACATGAGGCGTTCCTGTGTCTTGGGGCTGAATGTGATGCCTCCCTGGCAATCACAGAGCCTGTTGCCTAGGACTGCCACTGAGCAGAAAGATTCATGTACAGTTACTAATTACCCAGTATTAGCTCTATTCTCCAAAGCTTAAAGCATGTTAAGCCTAAATGTGTGGGAGCTATTACTAGTAGTACTAGTAACACTATTACACGAGAAATGTCATGGACTGTCTTCAGTCTTCTGCACTACAGGTTGAACCTCTCTAGTCCAGAACTCTCTGGTCCAGAAACATCTATCATCTGGAATGATTTTAGTTATCTGGACTTTTCATGGATGTGGCCAAGTTTCCCACAGTCCCATAAAGTTTGTTTCCCACAGTCCTGGCTCTGTGTTCTGTGCTATTACTGAGCTCTAACTTACCCCAATTGTCCTCTAAGAGCCCAGTAAGCAGTGGAGGTGTTGGTAATGCTGCTAGACAATATTGACCTCCTGGGGTCTGGAAAATTCTCTGGGTTGGAACTGGTCAGGTCCCAAGGGTGGCAGACTAGAGAGGTTCAATCTGTAATGTGTGGCAAAGGCAGAGAACTAGGAGTTTTGGAAAGGACCTAGGGATATTGTGAACAGGGATATCCTGGACTCCTTTCTATAGTAGTTCTGAGATATACCTCTCCATTCTGACTTGTATCACTACCAGCTGTTATACACCTGCCCTCTCTTTCCTCCTACTCACATACTTGCTCTCCAGCCATTCATTCCTGTCTATACTTTGCTAGAGTATGGTCCAATTTTCACCTTCTTCTGTCTTTGTGGAAAGCACTTGGGCAGAGAAGCACCAGTTCTCTTCCGTGGTACCAAGGAATGGAAGCTCCACTTCTTTCCCCTTGTGACCTGCTGGTTATCAGGACTTGAACATACAGTCCAGAGATAAAGAATTTGGGCACCATCACAGTATGTGACTAGGCTTTCCCACCCCGCCCACCCATAGTGCCCTTTCACCAGAAGGTTTGGGAAGAGGCTGAGGCTGGGGCTGGTTCACAAGTTCAGTAGAAGCATATATGAATTGCTGTTTGGCTGCCACAGTGTCTGCCCTCGACATGCCAAGGGCCTGATCCACCTTCCAGTGAAGTCAATGGCAAAACTCTCATTGATTTCAATGGGAGCAGGATCAGGCTCGCATAGTATATAGATACACACTCTGCTTCATGCTTACAGCACAAATTGAAATACTAAAGTGAGGCTAGGCATGACACAGCAAGTGAAGCTAATTTACCTTCTCAGAGTTCAGAAAACCTGTTACTGTACCTTTGCAAGAGCATTCTCCATCCTTTCATAAGCAAATACCCCTGTAAAAAAACCTGTTTTTTAACTGCCTTTGCCAAATTCTTCTTCATCTGCTGAGGGTGCTAAATGCCTCTCCCGCAACAATACAAATCCCAACTGAGAAATCAGTGAAACTGCATTTCGGATCCTTACCTTGGAGTTATTGCAGTAGCTTTGTGACCGGAGGAGAAGAAGCCTAGAGGAAGAGACAAGTTCAGTGAAAACAGGATATTCAGTGGCTGGGCTCCAAGCTTAGGCTCATGGATGCTAGCAAACAAAACCAACCAATAGAATAGAAAAGATGTTAATCTCCCGCCCATCTCTCCTGAGTCTATCCTATCAGTAATCGCCTTTTATCCTCGAAGGAATAATAGTCAAGCATGTCAACAACTGCCAAGCCAGATGTTCTCCTGGACACATTATTCTTCTTTCTGCCACCCGCTGTGCTTCTTGCAGCCTCAAAGAACAGTGGTATTTTGAAAATATGTAACACACTAACTTCCTGGGCCCAATTTACAACTAAAACGTTGAGCAACAGAAATGCAGGGAAAACTTGTTCCTTTCCTGACTTTTCCTTACTCAAGTTAAATTTAAAAAGAGCTGCCACTCTCCTTTCACTTAAAGAGCTTTTCTTTAATTTTTAGCTTCACTGGGAATAGACTTTTGCACCTGTAAATTTTTAATCTTATTTTAGTTCCTGAGCATATTAGGAAGAATGTCGGTAACTGCTGAGCCTGCTAAAAGAAAAATCACTATTTAAAACAGTGATATGGTCTTTTTATTACTTCTCAAAGTCCACTTCCAGCTTTTCTCAGTCAGGCTACTTGTAATACTAGTCAGAGGAAATTAGAGATGAAAAAGGACTTTTCAGGTCATCTATCTTCCCCCAGCCTGAGCAGGGCTGTTCCCAAAGAGGGTGTGCATGCACTGCAAAACAACATCCACAAATGGACTATGACAGCTGACTTGGGCTCACAGGTCTCAGACTGTGGAACTATAAAATTTCAGTGTAGAAACCCTCCCCGCACATTGGAATCCTAGAACACGAGCTCCAGCTGAGTCTGAATGTCTAATCTTGCATTTTATAGCCCTGCAGCCTGCCCCCTCCTGTACCCACAGCTGAAACTGGATGCTGCAGGTGTTTTATTTAGGGATGTTAGTGTATAATCGAATAGTCAATGATTTTATTTGAATTGCACTCGTTTTAGTTGCTGAAGCCCAGAAGTATGTTCCAGATGCAAAAAGCCATTGAAATAATAGGAAACAAAATGATACAAGCTGTTACTAGGCTCTGAATAAGGCCCTTTGATAGCAGTACAACAACAGCCTGTGTTTTCTGAACACTGTGAAAAGCAGATGGAAAGTGTAAATCCAGTTCCAGAGAACAGGGCCCTTTTCCAAGTTTTCTCTCTGTCTGGTATTTTCCAAGAATTTACTTTCCCTGCATGAAGCACTGCAGGAGCTTGGCACTGACCTTCAAATTTCTTCCACCGTTTGATTTTTCTTTGGGTAATGAATCCTTTTGACCTAGATTTATTCAAGCCCAAGATCTGGAAGCTTTTGGGGAAATTATTAATGTAATAAACTTTGCTGTGTTTTCAAAGACCATATTAAAACAGATTCAGATCCACTAGTAGTAAACGAAGACAGTAGTAGTGACTAGATCCAGCTGCTAACATCTAAGCTATTGTTTCCTGTTTTCCAATACCAGATTTTTTATAGCATTTCCGTGTAGTTTTCTGTCCAATTTAATAAAAATGGCTATTGGGAAAAACATCCTTAAAGTTTTGTGATACACATTTGCTCATACTCAGAAATACAGAAAAAGCCAAACTATGCTCTCAGTGATGGAAGTCTAAACTGATATGCTAGTGTAAATGCAGAGTAACTCCGGTAAGTAACTGGTGTGACTTAATTTACTTTTATACTAGCATAAATGGGGAAAAGAATTGGGTCCAAAGTGATTATTAATCTAAAAAGGGTAAAATAAACTTCCAAAAAGAGTCTTGAAGGAAAGATGACTTATGGGTTACTGATGGAAAGAATTAGCAATTTATTAAATACATATGGTGTCTTAAGAATGCTAAATGAACAGGAGCAGCTAACAGGGAGTTTGGAGAGGGAGTTCTCCAGGTAAAAGAGGAGTAAACACGGGACCCTTATGGTAAGTGGCTGTCTGTAGTGTGTGTTTGTGTGTGGGGGAGTTATTTGCTGTGTGCTGAGCTTGTGTTTGGTTGATTGGTTGGTTTGTTTGAAGGAGCTTCTAAAAGGTTTGAAATCTAGACGCCTCTGTTAATTGGCTGAGCCTCAGTCAGGGGGAGGAGCTACCAGAGCTATATAAGCCTGTGAGTCAGCGACCAGGGAGCTTGTGAACAGGAGCAGCTAACAGGGAGTTTAGAGGGGGAGGTTAGAGGGCACTAGTGACTTCTGACCTTCTTTAAAACATAACTCTTATAATAATCTATATTCCAGAGATTTAAAAAGAAGCCCAGTTTATACTTAAACTTATTCATAAGAAAAATGGAGACAGAAGCCCAGCAGCAGAGCGGGGACTATCCTGTTTATTGCGTCGAGTGTAACATGTATGATTACCTGCCCTGTGGGCGGGCGGCATATGTGTGCACCCGTTGCAAGGAGCTCCTGACCCTCAGAGAGTGAGTTCGGGCTTTGGAGGCCAGGGTGGCTGAACTGGAGGAGCTAAGGGAGGTAGAGAGATACGTTGATGAGACTTTCCTGGACACTGTAGTACTGTCTCACCTCCAGTCTGAGATCCCAAGTGCTCTTAAGGAGGATGAAAGTCTCAACAGAACAGCGGCGAGGAGTCCTGTGGCACCTTATAGACTAACTGAAGTGTAGGAGCATAAGCATAAGCTTTCGTGGGCAAAGACCCGCTTCGTCAGATACATGTAGCGGAAATTTCCAGAGGCAGGTATAAATATGCAGGCCAGAATCAGGCTGGAGATGACGAGGTGGATCCAATCAGGGAGGATGAGGCCCACTTCTAGTAGCTGACCAGGAGGTGTGAATTCCAAGAGAGGAGAAGCTGCTTTTGTAGTTAGCAAGCCATTCACAGTCTGTTTAATCCAGAGTTGATTGTGTCAAACTTGAAGATGAACTGTAGCTCCGTAGTTTCTCTTTGAAGTCTGGTCCTGAATTTCTAAATGGCTTAAATGACTGCTGCTTGGAGCAGCTGGTACAGAAACCTACAAGGGGAGAGGCAAATCTCGATTTAGTCCTGAGTGGAGCACAGGATCAGGTCCAGGAGATAACCGTTACAGGACTGCTTGGGAATAGTGACCATAATATAATAACATTTAACATTCCTGTGGTGGGAAGAACACCTCAGCAGTCCAGCACTCTGGCGCTTGATTTCAAAAAGGGGAATTACACAAAAATGAGGAGGTTAGTTAAACAGAAATTAAAAGGCACAATGACTAGAGCCAAATCCCTGCAAGCTGCATGGAAACTTTTTAAAGACACCATAACAGAGGCCCAACTTAAATGTATACTCCAAATTAAAAAACATAGCAAGAGACCTAAAAAAGAGTCACCGTGGCTTAACCACCATGTAAAAGAAGCAGTGAGGGACAAAAAGGCATCTTTTCAGAAGTGGAAGACCAATCCTAGTGAGATAAATAGAAAGGAACATAAACACTGTCAAATCAAGTGTAAAAATATAATAAGAAAAGCAAAAAAAGTTTTTGAGGAACAGCTAGCCAAAAACTCAAAAAGTAATAACAAAATGTTTTTTAAGTACATTAGAAGCAGGAAGACTGCTAAAAAACCTGTGGGTCCCCTAGACGATCGAGATATAAAAGGAGCAATGAAGAACGATAAAGCCATTGCGGAGAAACTAAATGATTTCTTTGCTTCAGTCTTCATGGCTGAGGACGTTAGGGAGATTCCCAAATCTGCACCATCCTTTGTGGGTGATGAATCTGAGGAACTGTCCCGGATTGACATGTCATTAGAGGAGATTTTGGAACAAATACAAAAACTTAATGTTAACAAATCTCCGGGACTGGATGGCATTCATCCAAGGGTTCTAAAAGAACTCAAATGGGAAATTGCTGAACTATTATCTGTGGTTTGTACCCTATCCTTTAAATTGGCTTCCGTACCTAATGACTGGAAGGTAGACAACATGACACCTGGCAATTGTCCTGGCAATCCTGGCAATTACAGACCGGTAAGCCTAACTTCAGTACCGGGCAAATTAGTCGAAACAATAGTAAAGAATAAAATTGTGAGGCATGTAGAAGAACATAATTTGTTAGACAAAAGTCAACATGGTTTCTGTAAAGGGAAATCATGTCTTACTAATCTATTAGAGTTCTTTGAAGGGGTTAACATGCAGACAAGGGGGATCCAGTAGATATAGTATACTTAGATTTTCAGAAAGCCTTTGACAAGGTCCCTCACCAAAGGCTCTTGTGTAAATTACATTTCCATTTCCTTTCATGGATTGAGAACTGGTTAAAAGACAGGAAACAAAGGGTAAATTTTCAGATTGGAGAGGGGTAACTAGTGGTGTACCCCAAGGGTCAGTCCTGGGACCAATCCTTTTCAACTTATTCATAAATGATCTGGAGAAAGGGGTAAGCAGTGAGGTAGTAAAGTTTGCAGATGATACCAAACTGTTTAGGATAGTCAAGACAGAAGCAGACTGTGAGGGACTCCAAGAAGATCTCACCAAACTGAGTGATTGGGCAACAAAATGGCAAATGAAATTTAATGTGGATAAGTGAAGAGCAGATTTTACAACCTAATCTGTTAGTATAAAATGAAGGTCTGTTTAAAGACAATAGGGATGTGTTATGTACAAGGCCATATGCTTTTAAGCAGCCACTAGGCAATAGATAAACCTGAGTTCTTAGGGAAAGGGTTGGACTCTGGTGGCAGGCATAGTAAGGGACAGGCCAAGCCATGAGCTTTCAAGTGAGAAGTCAGAGGGAGTGTGGGCATGGCGTCAGAGCAGGGTAGGGACTTACATGGTGCCAGTCTGTTTGGCAACCCCCCTCTTTGCCAGGAGAGTGCAACTTTCCCTCCCTGCAGGAGTGGGAGGGGGGAGAGGGTCTGGGCATGGCAGCAGAGCAGGGCGGGGGGTCATATGGCACCCGTATTTTTAGTACTTCCCATTTGCCAAGAGTGCAACTTTTCCTTAACACAGGAGTAAGCGGGCAGGAGTGGAAAGGGGGCGGTCTGGGCGTGCCTGCCCCGGGATCAGTACCTGACTGTGAGACATCCTAGGAGGAGAGAATTGTCTTCAAGGCTATAAAAAGCTCTCAGTGACCTCAGTTGCCCTGTTCACCTGCTGACCATTTCCCTCCTCCTCCTTCACCATGCTGTTCTACGTGCTGCTACCTGAGGCTGCCTAAATTTCTTGGGAGAAATCCATGTACTGGCTAGGGAAGCTGATCCCTCATCTAGGATCGCATGCAGCCACTTATAAAAGTGGCATGTTTGTGGTGATGCTCCAGACCGTCCATTTGCCTCCTTTGTCTTTTGATACAGTTAATGGGGAGCAGGTTTAAAACTAATAAAAGGAAGTTCTTCTTCACACAGCGTGTAGTCAACCTGTGGAACTCCTTGCCAGAGGAGGCTGTGAAGGCTAGGACTATAATAGAGTTTAAAGAGAAGCTAGATAATTTCATGGAGGTTAGGTCCATAAAAGGCTATTAGCCAGAGGATAGAATCGGTGTCCTTGGCCTCTGTTTGTCAGAGGCTGGAGAAGGATGGCAGGAGACAAATCGTTTGATCATTGTCTTCGGTCCACCCTCTCTGCGCACCTAGTGCTGGCCACTATCAGCAGACAGGGTACTGGACTAGATGGACCTTTGGTCTGACCCGTTCTTATGTTAAACAAGTATAAAGCAATCTGTGATCACAAAAACCTGGCAAAAAACAGATCCACTGGGGATACCAAGCAGTTCACCAGTTCAACTCCATCTCAAGTCAGTATTAACTGAAGGACATAAGTCTTGCCTACCAGTCTGGTCACTTTATGCTGTTCGTGTTCCATAAACTGCTGGCCCAAGTTAGAACATCCCATTAGGCTGCTCTAACGTACACCACGCCTGCTTGAAATGAGGGAGCCATCACTGGCCCCCAGCTCTTCCTCCAGCCTTTAGCACAGGAGAGAATATGACCCTAAAAATAATTAGTCTGTTTGAAATGAGTTGTGGATATCCATTGAGTTCCTAAGTAACAGGTGTCCACCTCACAGAAACAACAATCACAGCTGTCAATAACTGATTGCCTTCCTCTCACTAGAGAGGCTTAAAAGCAAGATGGCTAGAGACTGAACTCCCTACTCACCTCTAGAAGCAGTCCCTCCACACCAAGAAGAGGCAGGTTGGTAAAGGGAGTTTGCACAACTGATGCTTGTGCTTCTCTTCTGAGGACAGAGAGAGACTGGAGTCACTGGGGCTTTCAAACTGACACACTTCACCAGTGCTTAATTCACTTAAAAGAATAAAAGAGGAACAGATGAGATATCCTAAGTGCTTTAGAACATGGTGACCTAATTCTGTTTTGCAGTGAGAAGAAGAAAGTGAGGGAGATGGCCTCAGTCATTGCTGCCAGAGAGTGATGCAATTGTTAGAACAACAGGCAGGGCTGGATTTATTGGTGTTAGGATATGGGCCGTGCACAGAACACACTCAAGTCTTCATTTCCAGAAGTGACAGTCTGTGGAGCACACATTCTGGAGTCAGCGCACAAGCCATATCCCATCTCCTGAATATGGGGATTTATCCCTCCTGAATTTAAGTCAAAGGGATACTGTAGGCTCAGGAAAATCTCAGCCGTATGTTCAGATCTTTTCCAGAACCTTTTCTCAGGGCAGTTTTGGTCTTGAAATATAATAGGGATGTAATAGTGTAGTTGATTAACCAATAAGCAAAATCTTATGGGTTAATGCTATAGATTACATGCATTCCCTTCCCTCAGCCAGTAATATTTTTAGCAGGCTGGCCTGCAGCCCAGCTCAGTCCTGGCTTGAGATGGGTCCAGGACCTACTCCCTCTGCAGCTCTGCATTTAAAGTGTTTTAGGAGTGGAGTGGGCAGGCAGCCTGGCTCAGTTCCAGCTTGTGCTGGATCTGGGAGTTCAGACTCCCTCAGACAGGGGCTGCTGCCAACCCATGCTGCTGCCTCTTTATCATAGGCAGCAGCACAGGGCAATAGGCAGCTGGTTCACGAGGGGAGCTTGTTTTTAAACTGGCTTCCCTCATGGACCAGCTCCCACCTGGCAACTTGTGCTGCTGCTTCTGATACAGAGGCAGCAATGCGAAGTAGCAAGGGGCTCCTCCGGAGTGATGCTGGAACACACTGGCTGCCAGCCCTGCCCCTGGGGACTACAGAATAGTCAACTAACCCATAAAAATTCATGAGATTACTTGACTATTCAACTAACCAATATTTAACATCCCTAGATATCATGCTTTCCCCCTTGCCTCTTTCAGGGCTGAAAGGGGAAGAAGAAATTACTCACCTTGTGCAGTAACAACGGTTCTTCAAGGTGTTTCCCCCCGTGGGTGCTCCACTGTGGGTGTCAGGGCTGTCCCAGCGCTGCTGATCGGAGATCTCAAAACTGTTGTCTGCCAGACCGTGCATGTGTGGTGGCCATCGTGTGGCTTTTCGCGCCATTTTCTGTCACATGGTCCGGCTTTCGCCAGTTCTTCCTAAGCATCGAAGTCTGAAAGACAGAAAGAACAGACTCCGAAGAGGGGAGGAGGGCGGGTTGTGGAGCACCCATGGGGACACACACCTCGAAAAACCATTGTTACTGCATAAGGTGACAAGTATCAGAGGGGTAGCCGTGTTACTCTGAATCTGCAAAAGCGGCAAGGAGTCCTGTGGCACCTTATAGACTAACTGAAGTGTTGGAGCATAAGCTGCCAGTTCTCCTATCCTTCTCACAGAGATAATAGCCACAAGAAAAATCACTTTCATTGATAGGGTATTGAAATCACATGTGGCTAGCGGCTCAAAGGGAGGTCGCATCAACGTGTCTAGGACCAATTCTAAGTTCCAGGGTTCTGGAGGATGTCTGTGCTTAGGAAAGAGATTGGTAAGGCCTTTCAAGAATCTTTTCGTGGTTGGGTGAGAAAACGAGGTGAATCCGTCAATTGGTTGATGAAATGCTGTAATAGCCACCAGGTGTACTTTGAGCGATGATAAGGCGAGACCAGCTTGTTTAAGATGTAGGATATATTCCAGTATGGAAGGCAATGGGGCAGTGGTGCAGGGCACTTCATGGGACATGCACCACTGTTGGAATCTGTGCCATTTGTGCAGGTAAGTTACTCGCGTGGAAGATTTTCTGCTGTTTAAGAGAACATTCTTAACATCTTGAGAACAACTCATTTCTGTTTGTTTGAACCTATTAGCAGCCAGGCAGAAAGGGCAAGGTTGTGTGTTTGTGGGTGCAGTATTTGGCCGTGATTTTGTGACAGGAGATCTGGACGGTCCGGAAGATGGAACGGGGGATGAGAAGACATTCGATACAGGTAAGGAAACCAAACCTGGCGAGGCCAGAATGGAACTATTAGAATTACCGTTGCCTCATCTAGGAGTATCTTTTCTAATACTCTCTTTACTAATGGAATGGGAGGGAACGCATAAAGTAGACTTCCTTTCCAACTGAAGAGGAAGGCATCTCCTATCGAGTGTAGGCCAATTCCTGCTCGTGAACAGTACCGTGCAAACTTTGTGTTGTATTGCGTGGTGAAAAGGTCGATGGAAGGGTGACCCCACCTGGTGAAGATGGAACATAGGATGTGTGGATGTATCTCCCAGTCGTGCTGGCAAGCAAACCTTCTGCTCGATGCATCTGCCATGGTATTGTCCTTCCCTGGTAAATAGGCAGTGGTGATGGTCACACCGTGCTGGTTGCAAAAGGTCCAGAGACGGATTGCCTCTGTGCACAGGGAGTTAAAGCGCGCTCCTCCCTGCTTGTTTATGTAGTAGACGGCAGTAATGTTGTCCGTGAGCACTGTTGCAACTTGATTGCAAAGGAGGGGAAGGAAGTGCTTGCAGGCATTTGTGATGGCCCGTAACTCCAACAGATTTATGTGGAGGAGGGACTCCTTGGGAGACCACCGGCCCTGAACTTGGCTGCCTTGCATGTGTGCTCCCCAACCCAGTAACGAAGCGTCCGTTGTGAGTTGAAGCTTGGGGCTGTGGTTTGTGAAAGGGGATACCAGCCAGCAGGCTGTCGGAAATGGTCCACCAAATAAGATATCACTTGATCATGACAGGAACCACTACCATCCTGTGCACATCATGTTTGCCTGGTGTGTATATTCTGGACACCCAATGCTGGAGTCAGCGGAGGTGGAGCCGCGCGTTGGCTATGATGTATGTTGTGGAAGCCACGTGTCCTAAAAGTTGTAGACACGTGAGGACAGGTACTGTAGGGCTCGTGTTTATCACTTGCACTAGATCTTGAATGGCCTGGAATCTGTCAGAAGGTAAGTAGGCTCGAGCTGTTGTGGAGTCGAGATGCGCTCCTATGAACTGTATAGACTGTCGAGGAATCAGTGAAGATTTCTGGGTGTTGATTATGAGCCCCAGTGTATCGAACACGAGCGTCATTGTGGTAACCGCCCACTTGGTTTCTTTGAACAAGCGTGCTCTGATGAGGCAATCGTCTAGATAGGGAAGGAAAGCGTTTTGGAGAAGACCCTTGAGGCTGAGGATAGGCCGAAGGGAAGGACCTTGTACTGGTAGTGGGCTGTGCCCACCAGGAAGTGGAAGAAACGCCTGTGTGCAGGATGGATGGCGATGTGAAAATAGGCATCCTGCAGATGGAGGGACATGAACCAATCATTCTGTTCTAGGGATGGTATGATTGTTGCTAATGTCACCATCTTGAAGTGCTGTTTGCGTACGTATCGATTCAGTTGCCGAAGATCGAGTATGGGCCTCCACCCTCCTGACTTTTTCTCCGTCAGAAAATAGTGGGAGTAAAAGCCTCTGCCGTGGAAGGCTTCTGGGACCCTCTCTATCGCTCCCATACTGAGTAGATAATCTACCTCATGAGCGAGAAGAGACTCGTGAGATGGGTCCCTGAAGAGGGAGGGGAAGGGAGGAGTAGTGGGGGTGGGGGATAGGAATGGAATCACATTGCCAGATGTTATTAGCTGCATGACCCATCAGTCCGATGTTATTACAGCCCAATGGTGTTGGTGGGGCCTCAAACGATGGTGGAAGAGTGCTTTGGTGACGTGATGAGTAGGTAGCAACTGGATGATTCACAGTCCCTTGACACTCCCGTTAAACCTGCTGTTTGCCAGCCTGTTGGTGAGCTGGTCTCTGCTGTTGTGGGCGACACCTCTGGGGGCTTTGGCGACCTCTTGGGGCCTCATATTCCCTCCCCTGGGGTGGTGCATAGGGGAGCTGTCTCTGCCTCTGGTATGGCGTGTAGCATCTCCGTCTAAATGGCGGAGTGTACATACCTAGAGTCCTTAGTGTGGTGCGCGTGTCTTTGCCAGAGTGTAGTACCTGATCTGTTTTGTCCCCAGACAAATTCTGCCTATCGAATGGCAAATCCTTGATTTTTGACTGGATTTCCTTTGGGACTGCCGCCATGTGAAGCCATGATGCCCTGCGCATCACGATGGATGTGGCCATGGTGTGGGCTGCTGTATCATCTGAGTCCAGCACAATATGGAGAGCTGACGGGCGAACGTGAAACCTTCCTGTATCGCCACTTTCAATATCTGGCGTTTGGAGTCTGGAAGGTGGTCGAGGAGGGGGACAAGTTTGGCGACATTATCGAAGGTGTGATTTGCCAGCAAGTCCGAATAGTCCGCCATATGGAGTGATAATGTGGCGGATGAGTAAATTTTTCTGCCAGGTAAGTCCAGCCTCTTGATGTCCTTCTCCCCTGGGGTGGTCTTATGGTGGGATGCTTTGGGCCTCTGTTGGGTGGCTTCAAGCACCAAGGAGTTCAGAAGTGGGTGGTTAAATAAGAACTCCATGCTGTTGGCCAGAACAAAAAAACTTTTTGTCCACCTTTTTGTTGGTGGGTGGGATCAAGGCTGGTGTTTGCCAAATGCCATCAGCTATTTCAAGGATGGCAGCATCCAATGGGAGGGCAACTTTTGAGGAGAGAGAAGGATGACGATTCCTCAGTAAATGGTGTTGTTTTGGCTGCACCTCTGCTAACTGGACGTTCTGGCTCTCGGCAACCCTTTTGAAGAGTTCCTGAAAATCCTTGATGTCGTCCATGGGCGAAGAGTCCCCATGAAACACCACATCGTCAGGGGACAATAATGCTACCTCTGTGGGGGACTGGTGGTGAGAGTCCTCTGTGTCAGAGGGGAGGCCAG